TCACACGCTCCCCTGGCTGCACAGTCCCACCCGTCCTGAGTGCTGGTGTTGGCACTTGTCTGATCCTCGCAGGAAACAGTTCAGGACTGCAAACCCAAAGAAAGCTAACCCTACCCAAAAGTGATTAGTTTTCACACAGTTTAGCTCTCTGAACTGGCTTTGCCAGGGTGATGGGAATGCCACGGCCAACGGAGCGCACCACTGGGAATGGGAGGTGGGATCCTTTTTCAGGGGCTCTAGCAATTGGATCTGTTCTGTTATAAACGTGTTGAGATAAGTGCCTCTAACTCTTGATGGCTGAGTTGCACAAGCTGTACAGGGATGACACAAGAGTGGCTCTTTCTCAAGTACTCAGGATTTTCATAAAGACAGGCTCACTTTCAACACAGAATGTCATTATCCAAGCACAAATGGTACATGCTATCCTAGAACCCGAACAACACTGCTGAAGTCCTCTGGGACAGGGACACTGCTTGGTTTGTAACATTGGATTGCTATCGTGCTAGGAAATGGCTGAATGAGGGTAAAGATCCTACAGCACTAGAAAGCACAAGCTGGCTGTTGCTCCAGAGGCAGATAAATATATGCCCAAGCCAAGAACTTGTAAGCACATCACAGCCTCAAGGCACACATTAAAGTCACACAAAAAAAACCCAGAAAAACAAAAGTCTAACCCAGTTGTGAACACAGTCACTGCATTCCCTCATCAGGGCTAGTCGGAAAGTGGGATGTGGGAGATGGAATTTACAGTGGTAAGTGGGACTTTCCATTTGCTTTATGGGCATTTTGGAAAAGTCCCCACTCTCAGGTCTGTAACTGCCTGTCTAAAATCTTCCCATTGTAGACCTGGTCAACCTAAGCACTTGTAGTAAATTATTCAAAGATTAAATTTTTTTTTCCCTTGCAAGTTGCTTGTAAACCTATCTTGATTTCTGCAGATGTACTTTGCATTCACAGTATTCACCAAACAGCTTCTGCCAGCAAGTTGCAGTATAGGATCTGTTTTCCAGAATGATTATTTTATCTACTTACTCTTTCTACTTTTGGTGTATGAATGAATCCCTAAATGGTGAGGTATTATTTCTGCTCTTGTCCCAGACGATTGCAAATTTTTAAGCCAAAGAGTAAACTAAAAAAAGAAAGAAGTAACAAACAACATATAGTCTCCTTTGCAGTATGAATATGGATGACATTCATCCAGTGAACATCCTTTAAACATAACACCCATTTATACTGAACATAACACCCATTCATGAATAAGAAAATACAGAAATACAAACCTAATAAAACTCAGGCGCCATTTCAAATCAGCCCCAATCTCTGCTCCATTTTGCAGTATTCAGCTGGGACTCTGACAGATTTAGCTGTGGTAATGTGTGAGTGTTACTGATTTCAGCTGTCCACACACTTTCCCTTGGTTACTGCGACTGTGGTGGGAGTGGTAGAACGGATGTTGTCTTAGTAGCTCCCGTTCAGTGTCTGGTACATTAGCTTAAATCATCAATGAAACAGGGTTGTGTTAAGATGCCAGATTCGAACTGAACTGCAGCAGCTGAGGCACGCAGTTAAACAGATTTAATGGTTCTTTTGCCACTGAAAAGAATTGTCTTGTATGGCTCCCTCCCCCTCTATCCCCCCTGCAAATCTCTATGGAAAGTGGCATGAAGTAGTGCAGATAAATCAGCCAGACCATGCCTATCAAGCCATTATTCTATTCTAATTTGTAAACTTTTATTTCCTGAATTAAAAAGGGATAGGTATCTTGTTGGGCTTTTTTTTATTTGTTTCTACCTCAGATGTGTTTTCCTAGTCCAGCTCTCTCAGGATATACTCTCCTATATCTCACCAGATTACTGGTCTACCTGCTTTGGTTTCTTGTCAATGGAGATACTTTCTCCAGGTGAAACTTTCACTTGGAAGTCATAAATAGAGATGTCTGATTAAAAAAAAATACAAAGCAATTCATGTTAAAGTCTTCTCTTTTAATAGGTAAACTAATCTTCTGAATTCAAAAATGTTAATTCAAGTTAAAGTTTCATCTTTTGTCTTAGCCCTTCGCTGGCTGGTGTAGATCTGGTGAGACTGCTCTACTGCCTTGTGGCTTTTTTTTCATTTCAGCATCATTTCCTTTTAGCATCTCTCTGTGCACAGTTTGAGGTTTTCTTAGCCTTCCTAGAAGTCGGAACTGTAAAATAGAGTCCATTGAAACATACTGAGCAAGAGAATTTTTGTGAGGGAGGAAGCATATTAATGTGAGCTAGTTTTTGCTATTAAAAAGCAGTCCCAGCTCTCGCTCATGGACAATTGGCATATTATCTTTTCTAATGAAAAATATCACTTGCATTCTGGTCAGTTACTGTGCTGTTGCCTGTAGGCAGCTGAAAAGGGTATTTATTTTTATCCTGCCATTGGCCTATGGGATTTGAAAGTACTTCTTTTAGGTTGCATAACTGTAACTCTTGTTATTGGTCATAATATTTTCCTGACATCTTCTCAATGCTTGCTCCGATATTTGACGTTCTGACCTGCTCTGGGAGATGGTAAATTCCACAAGCTGGCTACATGCTGTGTGAAGGAGCGCCTCCTGTTATAGATACTTCTAGCTTTGCTTAGTGAGCTCTTGTTCTCATGTTATGGGATGAGCCAAAAAATTGGGGACTGAGCAATTTGCTTTAGAGCTTTCCTAAATCTCGACCACCTCTTCTACCTCTTTTCAATTCCAGGCTAAAGGCTCGTATTATTTTCATTCTCTCGTTACGTGTCAAACCTGGAAGGGTAAAAGTTGTATAGGAAATGCAAGTAGGTGCTGTGCAACTGTTTTGGACACAGGACCCACTCCACATAAATATAAACTCATTTCTGTATTGCGCCATCGTTAACTCTCATGGCTGTTCGTGCTGCTCAGTACAGGAGCTCCTGCCAAGCAGAGCCACACGTTACCGCCCCAGAGTGGGCAGCGCACGTTCCCGCAGGGCTGCTCATAAACCCACAGCTGGAAACTCTCAGGAAAACACCTGCTCTGTGTTTGGTGCTCAGAACAGGGACTCAGTGGAGGCTTTGAAAATGTGCTTTCAATTGGAAGACTTCCTTTTTTTTTTTTTCCCTTCCACTGATCATTCCTCCCTTCATCTTCACTTCTCAGGTCATGTCACACCAGGACCCTTTTTTCCATGGTAATAAGTATTGCCCTTTCCCGCACCTGCCAGCACCCTATATTTCCTGGTTATAAGCATACAGGAATCTGTGTGCATTTGCCTATATTTTGTATTTTGTAGTGGCTTTGTAAAATCCCCGTAAGGGGCCACAAGGAAAATCTCAGTAGGATGATTTTTCTTGTGGGAACCTGTGTAGAGGTGGATAGAAACACCTCACATCTTTCTGCTCTAGAGACATATATGTATGCTCTTTTTCATTTTTTAATGTTTTAACTCAAGGAGCTGCTGCCTTTGGGGCTTATTCACTTCTGCTGAGGATCTAACTTTTGGCTGGAAATACTAAGGATCACTTTTGGCTCTTCATTTAACCCCAAGATGGGTCGAAGGAGAAAAGTTTGACTACAGAGAAATCTAGAATCCAGCTTTTTCAGAAGCTTACGAGTATTTTAAGCAGTGGAGTTGATTTTTTCACCTATGAAAACTGGATTACAAATCCAACATAGACCTGAAACTTTCCATTGTATGGAAAGGTGTAAAACAGGAACAGTTAACCTGGGTTTACATAAAACATAATTTTCTTGTCCACTCTGCTCCCCATCCCCAATTCCTGACCTACAGATTTCCATATATTTTCTCTTTTTAACTAGCTCTAGGAAAGCCTAGCTTTTCTTTTTCTCCATCCTCAACAGCAACTGTTTTCACCAACTGCCAAAGCTACCTATGTATTTTCCTTGGCTATCCTGTCTCTTATCTGAGCCCAACTATGTTAGGGTCTTAAAAAATGTGCTCTGCACCTCATATCTCAGCTGAGGTACCCCTACCTCTTTCTCCTTACGATCTGCAGGATCAGGAAGCCTCACTCTTTCTTTCCGTTCTGCTTATCCTCCTCCGGGATAATTGTCCTGATTATTTCCTAGGGTATAAAACTTTCCATTTGAGTTTCTTTGAAAAGGGCCAAAGAAATGAAAAAAGAGACCACCCCCCAAATGGACTTCCCCACTTTTGAGTTTGAGGACAGCTAAGACCGTTACGGAGAGAAAAATCAGCTGCAAAGTTTGGACGGTGTTGCTGACTTTCCCAGGGCTGGAAGCCACACCCTAGGCAACACTTCACCTTCTCCCCTTCTCCAGAGTTGTCTGAGGTGCAGATGTGGACTTGAACTCCTGAAATTTGGCAGGTGTCTGTGATCTGGGGTTTTGATTCCACTTCATCTCTAACATTTTCTCTTTCCAAACCCTTGCGTAGTTGCCCTTTCCTAGAACACATGCTGAGCACCAGAAACACCCTTCTTAAAAATCACAAACACTCAGAAGAGGAACACAGAGAACTGAAAGAGCTTTATCAAGAAGTTTTGTTTCTCTATAAACCCTGCATAGGAAACCCTGGCCTCTGCGCGCCCTCAGCATTTGCTGTATTTATTTCTTCTCCTCTTCCCCAGATTGGGAGCACTTTTTGCCAAACAGAGAGGCTTTGTGAGATGAGGAACAGCTCAGATTTTTGTAGCTCGTAAAGTCTGTGCTGCCTCCTCCTGAGAGCTGAACGCTAACTCTTGCCCCTGCTGCCCTCCTTCTCCAAAAAAGCAGCTCTTCTTAGTAATCCCCCCTCTTCTTACTCCGTTCCTTTTGGGAAAAGGCTCATAAGAGCTCCTGGCAGAACAGGGCAGAGATCCTGTCTCTAGCTGTTCTTTCAAAGGCAAGCAGCGGAAAAAAGCAGCGCTGAGTTTTAAAGCGAAATCAGCTGCCAAAGCTGAGGAGCGAGTGACAGGAGCGGTGGCTATTTCCCCAGATGCGGGGATCTTTCCTCCCGCTTTTCCCTCCCGTGGGTATTTCCCCAAGCTGGACTCACTTGGAGGTTGATGCTCTCCCCTTCTGAGGCCATCCTTTTGCCCTCGGGTCTCTCTCTCCACGGACGGCGCAAGTAGCCGAGGACTCTGCGCTCCCGGAGCCTCTCCCGTCGCTGGACCGGGAAGCGCAGCTGCTGGAACAGACCCGCTATTCATCTGCCGGCTGCCGGCCGCCCGCTTGGCATCAGCTGGGGGGCGAGAGAGGGGGTGGCACGCCGATTCTTCATTGTCCGGGCCGTCCGTGGAACAAGCGTCCCTCTTAGACTTTCCGTGACAGTTGTCTTCATTACGTGTCTGCGCTACCTCGCGGCATCCAGCTGAGCCCCATGAGCTCACTTGGGCTGGGACTCGGTGATGCAGCCAGTGTACCAAGAGGTCCCTGGCATAGGCTGCACAGCCGTTGCAGTGATCCTGATCACTCTTCTCTCCCCAGCACACATCAGAGCTACCCTGTGCATACGCATAAAAAAATAACCGTTGAAGAGATTAAGTCCAGAAAGTTACGCCTGCTAGCTGCGCCTGCTTCAGCAAAGATGTTAAGGCTGAGAAAAAGTTTCCACTTTACTTTGTTTATAGACACTTCTCATTTTTTTCCTCAGTCAAAATGCCCTTCTTTTCCCTTCCCCAGCTCTTTTTTTAGCTTGAAATTTTTATGGCCCATCCTAGCCTGAAGCAAATCTTGCTTTTTGCTTAAGCTGAAACGAACCAAAACTGACACTAGAATGGAAATGTATGCAGCCAGAATCAGGTCGCAGTGTAGGAAAATAATTTGCGTGGAATCCTCAGGCAATAAAAATCAGTGAGACTCTCTAGATTTCAGAGAAACTCTGCTACTTTGCACTACCTGCAGATCCAGTAGGCTTGCTCGGCTTTTTAAAGGGCAGTTTCTGTAGCATAGACAATTTATGGTAAATAATATATTCTGTTTAAACAGTTTAGCCAAATGCATGTCGTAGTACCTCAGCCTTAGGAGAGGTGCTGACACCTCTGTCAGTGGAAAATGCTGTTGCATCGCTGCTTCCCAGCAAAAGGCCTAGTTTTGCAACAATACCAGCGCTTAGTACTGCAGTTTCATTTCAAAGTGCTGATGACTTTAGCCTCCCTGCATTCGTCCCAAATAGCTAGTATTTTGACCTGCTGGAAAGCAGCTCTGCCGAGAAGGACCTGGGAGTGCTGGTGGACAACAAGTTAACCATGAGCCAGCAATGTGCCCTTGTGGCCAAGAAGGCCAATGGTATCGTGGGGTGCATGAGGCAGAGTGTTGCCAGCAGGTGGAGGGAAGTGATCCTGCCCCTCTCCTCAGCCCTGGG